GATACATATTTTCATTAGATATGCATGCTGCCTGGTTGCTTCTTATATCGTTTTGTAATATATTCTATCAAAACATGATATTGATATTAGAGGAAATTGCATAGCGAGTGATTTTGCGTACTGCGAGTTCTGCTAATCTCCGGTAGATTAAGCAAACCGTGCCTTCACCCCAATAGATCCGCGCGATTTTCTTAATTCCTTGGACTTTTTCTCTTCCTCACCGCGCTAATTGAGAAACAATAATTTATTCAGAGGAGCTAACGACCAGAATCCATCCCATCCATTACTGCTAATGACAGCCCCCCTGCTGCTGTCTCTGCGAACTGCCCGGACTTTTCCTCAATTACCGGAAAATGATCGCGTGAGGCAGGCCGCGGTTAAAAATGAAAAGTCGTCTTTGTCTAAATTTTATTACGTCGCGACCGCTTCTCTAGAAGAATCAGAAAAGTAATTAGGGATATCGGGGCAGGCAGCGGTAAAACTTTTGTTCTTGCGCCTGATTTGGCCGAGGGATAATGGCGGAAAATACTGCATTTGATTTATAGAATCGGGAAAGGTCGCCACAAGAATTTTATATTCTACGAGCATACAAATTTTGAATGGATTAGTGGTGCATGAAGGTGTAAGGTATCCTCTATCTGTGGGTATGTCACTCTCCGGTGTTCGTCAAGAATTTTCCTCACAGCAGTGATGTTTTCCTCTATCACTGACGTTCGCGGCCTCAGCGTCCTCCACAGTGAAATTGTCCCTTTGGAATTCTTTTTACCACCCGAACATAGTCGTACGATGAGTACAATCATTCTTTAATGCAAGCGTCATTTCTTCTGAGCACTGATCTGTGCTTGAAATACCGGTAAAGTTATACCGCAAGACTGCCCTTATCTCACTACCTGACCACGATGCTATAGTCCGCGCTTTACACTGTCAATACGAATTAACAACTAAATCAACAGACGTACTGCTGGCGGCTACTATGCACTGATGGACACGTCGCAACGTGCAGTAACATGCAGCCTTCTGCTGTAGAACAATCCATAAAAGGAAAAACCTTTTTCAAAGACACGCAGGTTTTGTCTTACCCGTGGACCTTCCAAACAGCGATATCTACAATGTATGTCCATTGCGTACACCACTGTATCGTTGAGTGATGACATCGAGCGCGGAGCGGCGAGCATTCACCCTGTTCGTGCACGATGTACGACAAGTGGATAAGATCTGGGCGCCAGGCCTACTCGCTCCTGCTGGCCATCCATCCATCTATCCGCCTTATTACCGGTGTGCTCTGCAGCGCACAGGTAGGCAACAAGGTGTTCGATTACCTTCAGGGCGTGGCTTACACTCGTCGTCGGTCGAGCCGACTAGCACGCCACACCTACGGCCCCTTGGAAAAAACGGGGAGCGTAGTCGCGCGGACGTACAGGCCAAGATGGCCTCCTCTTCTTTTAATTGGCCCTCAGGTGATGATCAGTGAGTATATAGCCGGTTCGTTCAGGAACCGTCAGATTTGTTTCTTTTATTAGGAGAAGTATATATATAGGTGAAAAATTAAAGCTTCCGCCTTTTGTTGGGTACTTCGACAAAATTTAAGCAAAGAGGACTCTTTATACTTTTTTAATTCTCTCTAGCTTTCAATGGACTTTGCCATCATCATCAGGAGCTGCAATTACAATGATAACAGTAGCAACAAAAGTGTAAAATGAATTTAAATTGACTCAACTTACAATAGTATGTGAGGATGTTGCTAATTGTTGTTTACGTATAGGATGAGGGAAACGTCCAGTAACATGGTGAGAGCTGGATAGATGGTACAATGGTCAAAATTATATAAAATATGACAAGAACAAGTTAAAAACAGATTAAAAATTATTTAAAAACATTAGATCATTACGTCGTGAAGCTACTTGATGATTGCACAAAATGGTGGTCATGGAATAATGAGTGAGATGAACCTTTGACAGAAGGCCGAAGGTTGTCAATGTCTGTGTTGAAAGATGGAACGAATTGTGGGCGTGTGCCAATACGTTGCCAAATCACTTCAGATGATGTGATTTTCAGAATGTTATGTAAGACATTGTTAAACCGACATTGACAACCTTCGGCCTTCTGTCAAAGGGTTCATGTCACTCATTATTCCATGACCACCATTTTGTGCAATCATCAAGTGGCTTCACGATGTAATGCTTTAATGTTTTTAAATAATTTTTAATCTGTTTTTAACTTGTTCTTGCCATATTTTATATAATTTTGACCATTGTACCATCTATCCAGCTCTCACCATGTTACTGGACGTTTCCCTCATCCTATACGTAAACAACAATTAGCAACATCCTCACATACTACTGTAAGTCGAGTCAATTTAAATTCATTTTACACTTTTGTTGCTACTGTTATCATTGTAATTGCAGCTCCTGATGATGATGGCAAAGTCCATTGAAAGCTAGAGAGAATTAAGAAAGTATAAAGAGTCCTCTTTGCTTAAATTTTGTCGAAGTACCCAACAAAAGGCGGAAGGTTTAATTTTTCACCTAACTGGTCCAGACGACAATGACCACGTCTTAAGTTATATATATATATATATATACAGGGTGACTTTGAAGTTGAGTCATTAATTTTCAGATAATGATTGTAGAAGGAAGATAAACCAAAATATGTGTGTAAAAATAAAAAAAAAATAAAAAAAAATGTTACCTTGTTTTATAAAGTATCCTCCCGACAAGTATTTCAGTGCGGACCTGTATTTGATCGTGAGGTCTTGGAGCACCGGCATGCCGTCCATATGTGAGATCTTAAGTCACCTGATTCACGAACCCGTTGTACTACATTAACAAAGGCACGAGGGGTTGGTTGCACTCGATTGGGAAACCGATCCGCATAAACATGTGCCATTTTTTATTTCGTTTGAGCCACGCAACAGACACCACTATTCACTACCGACTGACACTGACTGTATACAACTGAATGAAATAATTGTAAAAACATCGTTCCGAATTCTTTCGCTTTTTTGTTTCCGATGCGATGAACCGATACGGCGGATTATATTCGTTGTCGCCAAACACGAGCACATAATATTATTATTGAGAAAGGGCGGTACTCAAACTTCCAAAGGGCTATAACTTTGTTACTTTAATTTTACCAGAAAAATGGTAAAGGAAAAAAACATTTCTTTTGATCAGATCTACTCACTGTTAAAATAAATGACTCAACTTCGAAGTCACCCTGTATATACTGAGTGACAGAACAGGTAAATACGTACGTATGTTTATCCGATTTTCGTACATTTACGGTGTTAGTTAAATGTTAAACTATAGATCACTTTGGTCCTTCGTTTTACTCGAAAAGCAAAAGAAAGAGAATCTTTCAAATTAGAAAAACTCCTATTTTAACAGCCATCTGTCTCCATTTTTTCCAAAGCGCTATTCACACAAATAAGCGTCCAGACGTATGAGAAACATCAATAGGATGCGTGTAAATCTAGATCTGGACCATCGCGGGATCAACGCGTCGAAATATTTCGTGGAGCACCACTTATCGTCAAGTTCGTCATCATCGGTGTCAACAAACACGGTTAAGTAGTTTACGTCGCTCGAGACGAAACCGATTTTGCACTTCTTGTAAACGTTCGAACGGCGACGACAGAAAGTTATTTCGAGTACGAGTCGAGTGGGGCTGTTAATGTGCTAAGAACGACGAGGTGCGAAGTAACGCAGGACAGGACGGCCGATTTTTCAGAAAGATAAATCAAGCGAATGTCGCAAAAAACATCTTTGGCTTGACTTGGATATCTTCTGTCGCCGTTTTCATTGATTACCTTCATCTGAAGCTCGATCGAAAGCTTCAATCAGGCTCCTGACATATCATCCAGACCATGGTGTCAAAGCTGGCTTGAACTTGTCTGATCGCACAGCGCTAAGAAATCATAACGAGGTCTAGCGAGAACACAGTTGACAGCCTTGACTGCCTGTAATGCTGCGGGTGTATCCATAGTAAAAGACGCTGAAAAAAATCGTGGTGCTTCTAAGTCCACGGGATATTGGGACACGCTGTATGTGAAAATAAGTAGTATTTATAGAACGTCCATCTACTGTCATCCGCGTCAATGGCATTTACTACTATAAAACAAAAGACAAAAAGTAGCGAAGCCCTCATATTCGTTTGGTCACCACGAAAGTACAATAGAGTTAAAATACCGTCACATAAAACGATAGAGGACAATCACTTTAGTCGGCTTTAATTAAGTCGTAATCTAATCGTAAATCTAACCTATTGCAGGCTTGTCCAATATTTCACTATTGTTTTGTGCATGAATAACTTAACATAATGCTGTTTATTTCAGAAAAATTGTAATATCTCATAATATCGTTTGCACAATCGACTAGTTTTAATAATTTTGTTACTTATGCATCAAATTAACGGAAAAGATCATTACTTACCATACGTTATTTATTTTTAGCATTGTTATTCAAATAGCCTCATAGAAATGTCTCTTTTGGAGTATGTCAATATTGCATTCTCTATTATTTTTATAAAATTTGAAAAGACGTGAAAAAATGTACTTGTAGGAGACACGTCTAACAAGTTTTATCCACGTTTTTAATGCAGCAAAAAATTACTTACAATGTTTCGTTTTTTTATGTCCTCGTCAGAACGTATGGGGTTTCCCTGAAGGTTTTTCTCATCTCAATATGACGGTTATGGTCAAATTCATTGGCAATTTGATACTTGAACTTCAAAACTTAAACTTAAAAATACAGGCATCTCATTAAAAAATTCCTTTGACTTTCAAGTGACTTTGATAAGCATAGTCAATGATCGAACATCTTGTGTAATGAAACTACGGTTTAAGCTTAATGAATTTTATATTGATAAACGTCACCAGCCTTACTCTTAGCATACGAAAATGTATATTCTCTTATGAAACCGAATAAGATTTAAGCTGAAAAAATGTCGTTGTTATTGTTTTAATTTCCGCCATATAATCCGAAGAATAAAACGTCATCGGTAGGCTGAATAGTCAGAGTGAAAAAGAACGGGCGATCTGCGATGAAGAATTCTTCTATTGGAACCATCTTCCTCTCTTCTTCTTCTTCTTCTATCATTTCGTCTTGATAGTCATCGTCTGATTTGATATCTGCAATGCGGAGGATGCAAAAATATGATTCATAGAAAATAACGGAGGTTGATTTTGTTGATCGCCCAAAAAAACACACTTTCGGCGCCACATTCGACCTGCGGCTGAAATGGCTCAATATTTCGAAAAACATGTACTCACACATTTCGCGTAATGTGCACCGATAAAGAATGTAAGCCAATTAAAACTTTATTTACGCCAATTAAGTTAAGTTTATTCAGTTTATCAAGCTTCGACTTCTAAAGCGGCTTACTTGAATCTATGAAACTAGTTTGATTAAATCAAAACGCAATAGTTTCATTAAATTTGTTGTAGCGTTACTTGGATTGAGTAGACCAGACGCCAATGATCGGTTTGGGCCGAAGGCTTTGATGAAAGGCAAGTATTGGCTGCGGCCAAAGGTTTCAATAAAGAAGGCAGTTTTGATAAAAGCCAATCATCAACCTCAAACGATTGTTTTATAAAAACCAATTATCGGCTCTGGCTGAAGATTTTGAGAAAAGCCAATAATCAGCTTCGGCGGAAGGTTTTGATAAAAGCAAATTACTGGCTTCGGGTTTGGGTGAAGGTTTTAGTAAAAGCCAATTATCGTCTTCGACTGAGGGTTTTGATAAAAGCCAATTACCGGCTTCGGGTTTGGGTGAAGGTTTTAGTAAAAGCCAATTATTGGCTTCGATTGGAGGTGTTGATAAAAGCCAATTTTCGGCTTTGGCTTAAGGTTTTGATAAAAACCAATGATCGGCTTCGGGTTTGGGTGAAGGTTTTGATAAAAGCCAATTATTGGCCTCGATTGGAGGTGTTGATAAAAGCCAATTATCGGCTTCGACTGAGGGTTTTGATAAAAGCCAATTACCGGCTTCGGGTTTGGGTGAAGGTTTTACTAAAAGCCAATTATCGGCTTCGACTGAGGGTTTTGATGAAAGCCAATGTTCGGCTTCGGCTTTGGTGGAAAGTATTGGTAAAAGCGAATTATCAGCTTTGTCAGAAAGTTTTGATCAAAGGCGATTATTGGCTTCAATTGAAGGTTTTGAAAAAAGGCAATTTTCGGCTTCGGTTTTGGGGGAAGGTTTTGGTAAAAGCTAATTATCGGCTTCGACTGAAGGTTTTGATAAAAGCCAATTATTGGCCTCGATTGGAGGTGTTGATAAAAGCCAATTATCGGCTTCGACTGAGGGTTTTGATGAAATCCACTTACCGGCTTCGGTTTTGGGTGAAGATTTTAGTAAAAGCCAATTATCGGCTTCGACGGAGGGTTTTGATAAAAGCCAATTACCGGCTTCGGCTTTGGGGGAAAGTTTTGGTAAAAGTGAATTATCAGCTTCGACAGAAAGTTTTGATGAAAGCCGATTATTGGCTTCGACTGAAGGTTTTGATAAATGCCAATTATAGGCTTTGACTTAAGGTTTTGATAAAAACCAATGATCGGCTTCAGGTTTGGGTGTAGGTTTTGATAAAAGCCAATTATCGGCTTGGGCTGAAGGTTCTGATAAAACCCAATTATTGGCTTTGACTCGAGGTTTTGATAAAAGAAAATTATCGGCTTCGACTGAAGCTTTTGATAGAAACCAATTATCGGCTTCGGCTTTGAGGAAAGGTTTTGGTAAAAGCGAATTATCAGCTTCCACAGAAAGTTTTGATGAAAGCCGATTATTGGCTTCGACTGAAGGTTTTGATAAAAGCCAATTACCGGCTTCGACTTCGGCCGAAGGTTTTGATAAGAGCCAATGTTCTTCACAGTAAAATAAGTGACCTTTGTATTTTCTATGTTTGCAAAATATTGACAGTTTTACGTGGATATAAGACTTACGATCAGCTGATACTGCATTGATACCCCATTCGTCGACACTTATCACCGATTTTTGCGTGATTCCGGTGAGACAGAGGCCGTTCCCTTCCGCCAAGTTCTGCAATTCTGCATCCGGCTCGAATATCTTGTTAACTCCCAGCTAAAACAAGCCATGAAGATTTCTCTGTTACATGATAACTGTTAGAACAAATCACCGTATTCATCAAACACAACTTGTTAATATTTTCAATATTATGATGCAAAATGATCGATATTGGTTATCATCTTCAAAGCTCTCTTCTGTTTTGACAGTAATTAAAACAACTTTTGTTAAAATGTGCTATATTAATGGGAAATAGGTTGTGTAAGGTTCACATATTTTTGCTCTTTCCATAGCATTTTAGTAAAATTGGTACTTGAAGGCGAATTGGCGAATACAGTACTTACTGCTATCACATACCTGATTAAGAACCTTTTTTGCGTTTAGCTTATGCTCAATTTTGAACTTCGGTAGCGTAATATGCGTTCGCAATAATTCAAAGCTGTACTTCGAATTATCCGACCACAGGCTGTCCAGATTCTTTCTAAGCTTCCTTTGAAGTTTGTGTATCCCTTGCTTCTTATCCGGCAGCACAAAGGTCATCGACAGATTTCCTCCTTGAAGTGGCAATCTTAGAATTTTTGCCTCCAAATCCAGGTTATGGGTGATATTGGCATAGAATTCGCCATTTATCATATATTTTAGTTCATATTCTCCATTAATGGTGTGAAATTGGCCCATGAGGGTGCTTTTGTCATCAAAACGAGTCAACCATTTGGAAGTCACATCTAGATAACTGACCACCATAAGTGGGGCATTGTCATTAACATCTTTGAAGAGTACCAGGTTATTGATCCTCCCGCTGGTTTTGTCGGCAATATAGTCACTTATATTGACGGACGCCAATTCCGACCAATCGAAGTTCAACGGTTGTAGCTGGAACAAGTTTCGGAAATCAAACATAAAAAATAACCGTTATTAAGAGAAAATCGAGAACAAAGAAGCGAAGGGAGTGGGCAGCGCAGAAAATTACCTCTACTTTGTACCACCGGCGAGCATCGTCTAGGAACTTTTTGTAAGGCATGTTATTCGAGTTTAGGGCTAAGACTGCGCCAGCTTGAAGTTTGACGTTAATTTTACCTTCGCTCAGCTGACTCATGCGACCCAGAATTCTTTTCGCGTAGCCGTGTTCGTGCTCACTAACTTCTATCAAATGCGTACCTGCAAAGATTATGAATTCTTGATTATTAGTTTTCCAATGGCGGGCGGACCGTCACCTCCTATATCGCCAGAATCAACGGCTTCGAGCGGTAACAGTGATGACTAGGCTGTCGACGTGAGCTGAGATACTCTACTAGACCTTAAGTTTGTAATGAGTAATTTCTGATATACAGTGTCTCCAAGATGAGCCATCCGTATCCACTGTATTGTGGGTTCGGTACCAGACATGTAATACTCACTATAATAGTTATCTCAAGTTGTGGTCGAAAAATGTCTAAAATCATTCCTATTTTGGCTTTCACCGTTTTTCAAGGTCCCGAAAAACTTACCTGCAAGATCTATGAGCTCCTGGAACGTTTCTCCACTTGCTCCAAGTCCCACAATACCCAGTGCAAGTTCCAAGGAAAAAGGACTGAACAGAATGTTGGTCTCCCAATCATGGGGATCTGTCAGCAACTTCTGAAAATATAAAATGCATGTGTCATATAAAACCGAATCTCCGTGTTTTAATGGTTCACTTTCAGCTAGTCCCCGTTACTTTCTATATACGTCAATAAATGCGTACTAACCTCAATAATTTTTTTGGTGAACGTGAAGATATTGGCCCCGTGCAAATCAATAGATGCCCCTAACGCCAAAAATAGCAAAGGAAGTACGATCTTGGAAGTGACCATCGTGATATGTGCTAACTTTAACGTCTAACGCATATAAGCTTTATCGGTACAAATCAGTATTTTATATAAACAAATAAATCACTTTTTTATATTCTTGTGTCGATTATCGCTTTTGAAACTATTGTTCTGTATACTCGTGTACTTCGCAATGTTAGCTATACTTACATCATTTTTCATTGAATTGCTTATGCTATAAATGTTAACGGTTTGCTTATCAAAAAAAATGGCGTCAAGTAGGTTGACTCTGCATTTCCTCAAGTCAGTCAAACAGGCCCATAGAATTTGTTCAGAAACATTTTTTCCAATTTTTACTTCATCGCCCAATAACGTAGGACGTAAAAATGACGCCAAGTTGATGGACTATATATCTCACGCCTTCTAGTACAACTTCCCATATAGTGCAAAGACATAAAAACAGATAGTCAAAACTGAATTTCAATAAACCTGAAGTTTTGATGTCGATAATTCTCCATGTTTTTTCTGGCCACCACACGTACAGAACAAGGTCACCGTTTTAACTGAAACGTATACATTTTAAATGATGGTAATAATACAAATATGGGGGACTATCAATACAGTCTTATACCCATTTTATATTAACAATAAGTCCATGTATTTCTTCTTGAATCATGGCAAAATTTCAAAAGTGTAACATAGAAATTTGACGTCAAATACATCCATGAATGTTTCCATGGATTTCTTCACGCAATTAAAACTTTGCCAAGTTGCATGTCAAATTAAATATTTTCCTTTCCATCATATTCAAAAACATTACAGTTGAAACGTACAACTTTGATAGGACAGTGTGGTTTTTGTTTATGAGATTCGCCTCAAAATCAAAATCACAACAGACATAAAAGCTAAAAATGTTTCTATCAAGAATTTGTTTTGTGATTGAAACTGAAGGCAACACTCAGTACTGGCACATAATCCATGAGTTTGTCCGTAATCAGGATGACCTTGCAGAAATCCATCTGGATAAATTCGTGACGAAATTGTTGATGTATAACGGGAATTATGAAAATACGAGACAGGTTTCCGAGGTTACATTTCAGAAAGAGAAGAATGTTTGAGCTTTTTATAATTGCCGATTATTTTTGGATCAAACAAAGTCATATCGCTGGTCTAGTGAATTGTGTCACAGTAAAAAAAAATTACAACAAATTTACAAACTTACCACGAAATCAGTCCATTCAAAAAAAAGTGTACAGAACCTGTAGAACATCCTCACTCAAAAAAAATATGTACATAAAATGGAAAATGGACACAGAAAATTTTTTTACGCGTAATCTGGAAGAATGTCATTGTGTATACCCCTTTCAGGGTATGCTCTATCATAAGTATTTCACAAAACGACGTTGCATTCTTCTCGATGTTTTTACAGTGTATACCATAGGCCGGGTACCAGATAATCGAACTGTATTCTAAACTAGATCTGACAAAAGCATTAAAAAGTAAAATTAATGTATTAGTATTATTGAAATGACTACTGTTTCTTATAACAAAACCAAGATCTTTAAAGGGTTTTGCTATTATTGCATTAATGTGATCAATAAAAAAAAGCTTCAGATCGAATAATACGCCCAAATCCTTGACGATCTTAACACGACAAAGAACATTGCTACCGATTTCAAAATTGGAACATGTCGGTTCTACCCTGCGTGTAAACGTCATAGTAGTACGTTTATTGCATGTTATTTACCTTACACCAGTGATCAACGACATTCAGATCAGCCTGTAACCTTAAACTGTCTTCTAAGCAGCACACGCTATTAAAGATTTTGAGGTTATCGGCATATAGCAGGTACTCACAACGCAAGTCTGTTGTAGCATCATTCATAAAAATTAAAAATAATAGAGGTCCCAGAACAGAACCTTGGGGCACCCCTGATGTAGCTAAAACCGCACCAGACTTATATCCACGGAAGTCCACATATAATTCCTGTGGATTCCTGAACTCCTCATTTTCCAAAGACATATTGTTGGGTACGCCTGATCTGTTGCTGCGCAAGTTAACAAAGGACCAAAATTGATTGGGGGTTTGCGCAAGGGCACGCTCAGTTCTCGCAACAAAATTAGAAAACGCCAAGTCTATACCGATTTTGATGGCTCTTCGCAAGTTACTGAAGGCTTCATAGTCAGATCTAACCAAAGTTCTCTTATATCGCTTCCAGAGGCGATGTTTTTTTATATCTTAAAGATTATTCCCCGAGAAAACCAGGGAGGGTACCTGTTATCCTTTGGTAATGTGCATGGAACGTGCCTATCGAAAGCGTTATACAATTTATTATAAAACAGGTCACAGCAATATTAATGTCGAGGATGTCAGATGGAAAAGAAAAATCTGAATTCATAATACTGATGTCTTGCGCTCCTCAAGTTATATTGCGGATTATTATTCTTTGGGCGCAAGTTATTCAGAGAACGCGGAAGTGAAAAGAACACTTCTATCGGAGGATGGTGTCTATCCACTGGTAAAAGAATATCAGATGCATTTTTCACATTAACAGAATTATTACAGTTTTTTTGCATACAAATAAACTTTTCTTCATTCATTGTTTTTACTACTAAGTTTATACTAAATAAGAATAAAGCTTTATCTACACTACTCAGCAATAGAAGGAAACATAGGAGGACAAATCTTTCACGTAAGTTTAATAGTGGCTTAGTATTAAAAGTAGCAATAATCTAATCAGATTAGCGAATTTTCCCGAAATATTGTAAAGTCTGGATTTATTGATGCAAGTTGTTCAAGGGGGTATTTGAAAAAATGGAGTCGTTTCTTCAAGTATTTTTTGAAAATTTCTAATTGTTTGTCCCAAAACACCTGTCTTCCGGCCATCACTCCTAGTTTACTGAGCAATATACAGGATTCGTTCAAAGGGCATTTTATTGCGAAATACACGAGTTCACCTTGCCAACATGAGTCACAAACCATTCTGAAGGATAGTTGCCATTTTTGTGCGAAAAATGAAAGGATGAACAATTAGAAATTCTCAAAAACTACTTGACCAATTAACTCCAATTTTGTTGTCGTTATTTCGAAGTATGAAACCAACAAGTGCTAAAACCTGCATCTCTTTACTCGAATACCTCGCCGTCCAGATCGACTTCCTGAACATCAATCACCCCGCTTCAGAGATAGTTCTTCTCGGTGATTTCAATGCCCATAATGAGCTTTGGTTGGGCTCAAATAAGACCGATGCAGCAGGTCGTGCAGTCGAAGCGTTCGCTCTTACTCAAGGGCTGACCCAGCTGGTGACGAGCCCTACTTTTTTCCCCCGCGTCTCATCACACGCCAGTAGCCTGCTGGATCTCTTTCTGACCACGCATCCTGCCCCTTACAGCACTGCCGTCCTGTCCCCCCTGGGTAACTCAGATCACGGTGTTGTGGAGGTTAGGTTTCGGTCAGAAGCCGCTGTGGCCGCAGAAACTCGCACAGGCCGCAAAACTTGGCATTACGGACATGCCGACTGGGAGGGGCTCAGAGACTTCTTCTCTAGCTTTCCTTGGAGAGATGTCTGTTTCACTGACGCGGATGCGTCGACTGTCTGTTCTTCAATAACCGAAATTATCCACGTCGGAATGGAGGAATACATCCCTCACACAGTGAAAGTTCCTAAACCAGGGTCCAACGGCTGGTTCAACAAATCGTGTGACACTGCTCGCCAGCAGAAGATCAAGGCCCACAGAACCTACTTACAAAACCCCACTGTAGAGAACAGACAAGCCGACGTCGAGTCCAGAAACAAATATAACGAAGCGGTTCGCAATGCCAAAACCCAGCATGATATAAAAGTTAGGCACAGGGTAATGTCGCAGCGCAATGGCAGTCGGTCTTTCTGGACGCTCTCCAAGCAGATTGAAAAGAACTTCTCACACAGTAGCCTTCCACCACTTACGTGTCAGGATGGAACTATTGTATTCGACTCAAAGGCCAAGGCGGAAGTGCTAGCCAAGATCTTTGCTGCCAACTCCACCATGCACGTCCCCACCAACGCCCAAGTGCCGTCAATTCAAAGGGTTCCCCACACTATGCGGGAGGTAACATTCAGGCAAAAGACCGTAAAACGAGTGCTCTTGTCGCTCGACATCAACAAAGCTTCTGGTGCGGACTTGATTCCTGCCATTGTACTGAAGAGATGTGCAGCTGAGCATGCTCCAGTTCTTTCGCGTCTCTTCCAGATATCTTATGAATCCGGCACCTTCCCAGAAAACTGGAAATTTGCTCATGTACAGCCCATCCCAAAGAAGGGATCTGAAACCGATCCTTACAACTACAGGCCTATAGCTCTGCTTTCTGTTATAAGTAAAGTGATGGAGAGGTGCATAAATCGCGAGCTTCTGGACTACCTCGAACGTCACAGCTTGATTAGCGACAGGCAGTACGGTTTCCGGCACCAACGATCCACAGGGGACCTCCTAGCTTACGTCACGCAACTGTGGAGTAAACTCATCCAGTCTCATGGTGAGGCTCATGTCGTTGCTCTTGACATCACGAAAGCGTTCGATCAGCTGTGGCACGCTGCCCTCTTGAGCAAACTTCCATCCTACGGCCTCCCAGAAATGCTTTGCAGATGGGTGGCTGACTTTATCTCTGGCCGCAAGATATCCGTCGTAATTGACGGATTCTCCTCTTCATCCCACAACGTCAACGCGGGTGTTCCCCAGGGATCGGTCTTGGCTCCAACACTGTTTCTCTTACATATCAACGACCTCCTTTCCTGCAGGATCAACCCAATCCACAGCTTCGCTGATGACAGCACTCTACATGCAGGAATTCAGAGTGACAAGCCGATCTCTGCCGCTGAGCTGGAAAAAAGAAGACTAGCGACGACTTCTTCTCTGACAAGAGACCTGGAGGCTATCACTGCTTGGGGACGCAGGAATCTTGTACAGTTCAATGCTTCCAAAACACAGTACTGTACTTTGACGAACAAAAAGCGTCCTAGCGCTCATACAGTTTCGATGGACGGTCGAGTTCTACCAAAGAGCCATTCATTTCGGTTGGTCGGAGTCCAGATCACCGAGGACCTGATCTGGCACGAACACATCTCTTCAATAGCTGCAGCTGCTGGGAAAAAGCTAGGCTATTTGTTTAGGGCTAAGAAGTACTTTTCTCCGCATGACCTTCTCACTCTCTACAAGGCCCAGATAAGGCCTAGCCTCGAGTATTGCTCACACATTTGGGGTGCTGCCGCCCCGACTACATTGTCCATGCTCGATGCTGTCCAGAGGAGGGCGGTCCGACTGATCGATGACTCTTCTCTAACAGACAGTCTCGGGACTCTTTCGCACCGGCGGGCCGTCGGCGATTTAGCTCTTTTCTATCGCTACACCAACGGGCTTTGCTCCTCAGAGCTCTCTTCCATGATGCCGCCGCGCGATGTGCCTGCCAGACAGACCCGCCTGACTTCGGCGTCCCATCCTAACCGTGTCAAACTTCGTACATCCAGAACTGGCCGATACGACCGCTCCTTTGTCCCGAGGGTGTCTAGATTGTGGAACAAACTACGGGAGGAAGTTTTTCCCAGTTCTACTAACCTTAGGCAGTTCAAAAATCGTATTAACAAAATTTCTTTGGGATCATCATAGCAGCCGCGGTGTTCCGGCATTTAGGCTTTGGCCTGCGCGGCTGCTTCGATATAAAAAAAAGGAGTATATTAATATGATTAGATTAGAATGCGTTATAACAGTTTTATTTTGCTGAAAGTTATCTTGGAAACTTATATGCTCGAAACTTCCAGGTCGTTTGTCACCTTGCGTCTCTGGATTAGTTTGTATACCGCATACTTAGTAAAACTTCTAGAATCCTTTAAGTCTCACCTAATTGTTTTCCAGATTTTAATGGCAAAGAGCCACTTGACAGCATCGTTTATTTGCCCGGGCGAGAGATCGGGTCAATAAGGGAATTTTATAAATTGTCAACACTACCAAAGTAATTGTTATGCAATGTGTTGGTGTGCTTGGTTAGGAGCTAACAGAAAAAACAACAGTAGTTTTTATGTTAAAGTCGAATCTGACTTTATTTAGTGCAAACAATGAAGTTTCTGGGACTCCACATTGATAATGAATGTAGCAGAAGAATTAAGAAGTTCTTCCTACACGAAAATGTAAATTAAGCAGCGATTGAGATACATGTGAAGATTATAACACCCCTTCTTTTTGAGTCGAAGGTTGATAACCAAGATCGTTGGCTCATAGAAAAAAAGACAAGACCCTTGTTTTAAGTTATACCAGGTGAACTCTACGATAGAATTTGCATTGTAGTAGTTTCTGTTGTTTCAGCACTGATTTACATCAAAACTCATAAATTTTCCCGGGCTTAGACTTTTACAAGGTACCTTATCATTTTAACGACATTTCAGTCCATTGTAATTACCGAGAATACCGATGTTATAAAGGCAGACATTATCCCAAAATGTCACCAGCGGCGCTACATACTGACTATAGCATACATATTCCACCAGATATCAGTCGTGCGAGAATTTTAACAATAATTACAGTTGACTTTGAGGGATGATCTTTTCTTAGAAGGCTAAAGAATAAGGATTTTCTTTAGAAGAGAATAAAATCTAGTTTTATTACTTCCAAATGGATGATGCTTGCTTTAGCCACTGTCTCTCTGTTCAGTGGATGAGTACGAACATAATGAGGTCAATAAATGGCATGGTACGGAGTTTTAAACACCCTGAAGAATAAAACAAACGTTTTGGAAAGCAACCTCCAGAATCTCCCATTCTTGTATTCTCCGATGTTTAAGGTCATGATTCGGAATGATGTACTTTGTTGTAGGCGCATCTAATACACCGAAACGGCACTGCGCTTAACTATCAAACCCCATACATAAAACTGGTCGTCTAAGAGGTGCTCCAGACGAGTTTAATTCCGATTTAAAGACCGCGTATACTTGTCACTTTATATTTAAATTTATTTGGTTTTGTAAACAAAAAGGGTTAGCTGCAGTATAGCAGTAAAAAGGGATGTAATAACGTCGGTTCGTCCTCACAGCGCGTCGTAAAAGATTCCGTCGTAAAATTTCGAATGAAATTAGATGTCGTGGAATGTCGCGTAGCCCAGCAAGGCAAGACATTCGTTCATCGGGACTGTACCGCGGATATGACATTCTTGAGACATCGTAAACTAAGTGATATTGGACCGTGGACATGTCGCTTTAGGATAATCAGGCGATTTGCATGATGTCTGCGCCGCTTTACATGAGTGTCGAGGCGTATTACATATTACAATGCCGGAGAAATTATGCGTAATTAGTAGAGGAGTTATTTGGACCATTAAAATGATTCCTCTGCCACGAAGACCACAGATATACAGGATGTCATCAAAGTTGGAACTTTACAGAACGTATATGGGATGCAATAATAAGCAAGTTCTTTCCTACGCATATCCAAGGCTTTGAGATAACTTTGAGAAATAAGCCATTCAGCATCTGCGAAGGTTATATCATTTTCTGACTTCTTCCTTATGGTTTAGGCAAATGATTTTTTTAAATCGTCAAGGTGTTCATTTCTTAGTTTAGCGTCATCCACATTGTGTTGCTCTAAATTACTTATCTATCCAATTCTTCACTCAATAAAGCGTTTTTCATTTTTCCGTCTATCAAGGTGACTAAACCTTTTTGGTAACATATCAGTAAATTCTCACAACTACCAATCAGAAGCTCGTTCATGGTCGGCATCACAGAGTAAACTGAATCTTGATCGCGTGAACAGTCCATGATCCTCGCTGGTTCACTTTACACTCCCCCACTAAGGATAAGAGTCACAAGAAAACTGAAGCATACTGTCGTCCTTAACGGTAAGTACGATGTTGTGAGAAAAAAATAATGTAGAATAAAACTTATACTTTATTTATAACTTTTCTGATATCGAATGACCAAACTGTATAGCAGCATCATTACCCTCCGTATATTCCTATGAATAAGACTTCATTTTCTGGTTTCTTCCTTATCGTGAAGATAAATGGATGATCTGCCAAAAATTCGATTGGTTCTGGTTCCGGGTAGAAGGCTACTGGTACTGCCTTCTTTGTAGCTATAAAAAAGGGGTTTTGCAATGTTTTTATACTTTTTCATTCGCTGCAGTATGGTACGAAAACACTGTATAAATATTGTTATTGTAAAATGTTAGATATTGCAAGTAACATGGGTCACCGGACATTTTTTTTATCTTAGAAATTGTTTATTTAGGTAGAATGGAAGAATAAGTACTAATATTGTCCCCGTCCGGTATAAACTTAAGACAATAGTGGAACCGCTTAGGCTTATATTAAAATCATTTTTGATATCGTTTCTGGAAGGGTTTGGTGAAAAAAATAGTGATCTTTGATTGTTTGAAAGTTATGACTATTTGCGTAGTCACTAATAGATTTCAGATCCTCATTGATCTCCGTTTTGGCTGTTTGAATGTCGGAACTCCCAAAATGATTATAAATTTGAGAATCATCAGCACATAACTGGATACTCCAATGGTCTACAATGACTTGTAGATATGTGATATATAAAATGCATAGCAGCGGTCCAAGTACAGATCCTTGCGGTACCCCAGATGAAACGAGTGATTTAGGAGACAATGAAGAAGAATTTTCATGTGGTTTTATCGGCCAAACGCAACACTAAAACCACAGGCTATTTAGGTTATTAACTGGACAATAGCAGATCAGTGGTACGCTGTCCCTTTATAATTGTATTTTTTTGCAATTATAATGAGTAGTCTACCACTATGTATCCTGGAAGGTCCGTGCATCACGATTTTGCTACTAGCCACTAACATTCCATTCGTTTCCTCAAAAAATCATTGACAATTCGATAAAAGTATTTCTCGGGCTGCAATTGAGTTGTCGTCGGACTGGCTTTGGTAAAGTAGATCCAATAATGTGTGTTCTTAGGAAACACCCTAATATGGACTTACCTGCAGCAGCAGCTGCATCTACTCCCCACTCATTGACGTCTATGAAAGATTTTTGTTTGACGGCGCTAACATACAGGCGGTCTTTTGACATTCTATCCAGCTCCGCGAGATCTTCGTCGAAGATTCTGCGAATTCCCATCTACAAAAAAGTTATGTAGATGTCAAAGTCCAAAGTCGATTTTTTTTGTATTCAAATCTCATCTACAAATACTAGCGCGTCAAGTTAAAATCCGCACACCCCTATTGGCCAGCGGGACGTAAATGTCTGGAAGTTGTAGTGACGAGCGAACAGAAGCAATGACACTTTTCTGTGTTATTTACTTATGCGGAAAAAGATGGAACTGGCACCTAGATATTTCTAAAACTAAGCATCCTAGACATAATGTTTTAGGTTTTCGAAGGGGTAAAATGATCGTGACCTTGACCTCAAATTTGAAGGACATTCCAAGGTCAAGTCAATATTTTCTGATGTAACCGCTTCTTTTTTACACAGCAATTGTAGAGAAAATTTTGAGTTTGACATCAAGGCCTTTTCAAGGTCAATTTAAGACGTTGAAAGCAATTTGCTCTAGTACAAATTTTCAACAGCACAGTTGTGAGATTTGTGGTAGTCACCTAAAGGTGACCTTCAAGGCCAAGATATAATTTAAAACTTACATATAAAATTTCTTAATACCTGCTATTTAGCCATAAAAATGAACGGGTTTCCTTATAAACATTTAATCCTGATATGACCTTGAAGTTAGTCGACTGTAAAATTTTCTGCTTTTTTCCAATTTTATCATAAAAATGTAAGGTTTGCTGCAAAAAATTTGATTTGACCCACGGTTAAGGTCACGTTTGGGTGATCCCTACAAACTCTACAACTGTGGTGTGCAATATTTTCAACATTTTTATCTGACCTTGAAAGGTCATGGTAATTTTCAAGGTCAATATCATGTTCGAACGTAAAATTTCCTCCTATTTTCAATTCTGGTATAAAATGGAGAAATACTTACTTGACCTTGAAATGACCTTGACGGCCGTGGTCAAGTTCACCATCGTTTTGCCCTCTCAAAACCCTACAACTCTTGTTTGAACCATTTTTGAGTAGTTTTTATAATGTTTATTAATGTTATACCTACACTTTTTAATAAAGGTATGCCGTCTAGGCTGAACTCAATCCTGAATTTTGGAATGGTAACTATAGCGTAAGTGGGCTGGAGAATATCGTCGTCCAACTTCCAAAGGTAATCAGCATAATCCGATATCTGTTCCCATATATTCCTCAAACCGTTTCTTTCATCAGTTAACAGAATCGTCATCGATACTTTCTCGCTAACAAAAGGCAGATCGACGATTCTCGCTTGCAGATTATCACTATAGGCGCTCGACACCGTCTGAACCTGCTGCATGAATGACATCTTCTTTTCGCTAACGCCGTCAATTGAGTAAAATGTTCGGTCATGCGTTAGATGGTGCTCGAAAGGGTTCATCCATCGTCCGCTGAAGTACAACGCGTTGACCAAAACCAATCTGGGTAGATATAGATCTGTAGGCTGAAGCAAGTTCTGGATCTTCAGTTTGGTCTTCCTTGCAACCCAATCGTTGATTTCTTTAGCTGCTGCAACTGGCTTTGCAAAGCTCATCGGTTTCACTTCTAGGTCGTACCAGCCGTTTACTTCTTTGAGGTATTTTGGATCAGCTTCGAATTGTTGCTCCAAGAAAACACGATTTGCTGCGTAGATTGTTACGTTTTCTCTACTTAGCGTTTTGAACTCATCCAGCAATGAACGTGTAAAGCCGTGGCGGTGGCCCTTTTCTGTGATGAATCTGTGTAAACCTATAAAGCAGAAAAACTTTCTAGGTATATGAAGCACAAACAACTATGACATTTCGCGCTGGCAGATGCCCAAGTACCAGGGCACAGCAACTGCTACGAAAGAAACTTTGTGAGTCCAGTCGTCGGTAAACACTATTTATAGCGAAAAAAAGCTCAATAATCTAATGATGTAGTTGGACATTATCCTTTACTCCTCTTGATTTTTTCTATATTTTAATAACGCACTTTTTTATTTTGTGTGGAAATCGAGTACCTACCGATGGCGTCTTCAAGCTCGTCCAAAGTGTCTCCTTCTGCGCCATGACGAAGCATCATCATGACGATTTCCAGTGAGAATGGACTCATCACGAAACTGGGCTTAGCTATTTCATCTAGCTCCAGTGACTGCAGAAAAAATTAAATTTAGCGATAGTTAACAAGCCATTCATAATTTCAAAACTGGACAACTGATAATGCGTAATACAGCGAGAGCTTTTCTTTTGGAGAACAGCCAAGTGGGAAAGAATTGTCGACTGTTTTGATTGGGTTTTTCAGGTGGAATCAATCAGTGCTTGAAGGCAGCCAATCAAAATAGACATCAGAGAGGCGCCACCTATGAGACAGCAGCAAATAGCTCTTTTCAAAATAGATTCCTGAAGTCATTTTTGAGTTCCGCTCTCATAGACGGCGATAAGGTCTTTCAAATCCCGCCCCGAATACTTGGCAAGCATGTATTGTTTTGAAGAAAGATTCGAACAGAATCTTCAGGATATCAAAAACACAATTTGTAGGGCTTGTAGATAATGACCTTAGAGAATCACGTTTATAAATTCAAACAGCAATCGACATTTGATAGCAGATTTACAAACTTCACCTCCAAATGACCTCTGAGGCCATATTCAAGATTAAGGATACATCTTTTTTATATCCTAAAATTTTAGTAAGGTTCTTTTGTCAAAAAAATGCGTGGCCGTCAAGGTTTATTGTACTGGAAATATCTCTTACCTTAATAACATTCCTAAGAAAAGTCCAGTTGTCCGATATATACTTGGGATGAATAAAACTAGGAAACACCGCTGAAGTGCATTCAACGTACAGACAGAACAATGGTAACAGCAGAAACTTTACGACGATCATTTTGACCTTAATGCGAACGACTAATGAATTGGCGATGTATTTATTCTTACTTAAAATTTAAAACAAAATCTATTGTGTTCTCAGTCAGTGAGACATAAAAATATAAATAAGTATAATATTTATTATAGGCAAAAATTAGATTGTTAGTTAGCTATTGTGTTTGGTATTTTATAGTGATGATAAGAATAACTCAATATCTAGGTAGTCAGACGTAAATATTGTATGATGAATCTGGCACGTGCATTACCCACAGACTATTAAATTTTCCAAACCATTGTTTCAGACAGAAACTTACAGCAATCCAGTTTTTCTTCGCGACAAGCACTGATCATAGAAGACATCGAAAATGTGTTAACATATTTCTTGTCTCTTCAAATTTAAAACCACTTTCTCTGGCCCTGATCTTATGTTCTTTCAAGTGGTCCACATGAGCTAGAAAAATATGGTATCTTCCCAATTACTTTTCGCACTTGATAAGACAGGCAAGTTTAAATGTGACAAGCCTAAATAAAAGGTACATCTTCACTCCATGAATGCAAGATTATTTCAGTTGATTTTGAATGTAATGCAACCAAAGGCCAACGTTGAAATGATGTTGCAAGATCCAGTTGCTGCATACTCAGATATGCCATTTTTATCATTAGTGAAGTAAGCAACAAGCTTTAGAAGTGACTTTAAACAACGGTATCAGAAGTAGAGGATATATTTATAGGCCTTAAATATGGTTACAGGAACATCGCCAGAAAGACAGACACAAACGGAAATGAGTAATAATGGCTTGTTCATGGTGACCCTGCTAAAAAACATGGTTCTCTTTTTCCGTTTTAACATTACAGGATTTCCCAAGAAACTTATATGAGTTTCCAGATTTTGTGCACCAAATGACAGAGCTCAAGGTTTAACTGCGATAATAATATGAGTTCGTTTCAGTTAGTGTTGGCACTTAGATATAAACGCCCATGGTTGAATATTGTTAATTTATGCACCGATAGTGTGGGACTCCTACGTAGGTACGTACACTGACTGAAATCCTGGAACTGGACAGCTGGATGTTGCTATGTGTGATTTATTGAGACATGCCTGGATTTATTGGATTCTCAGACAAAGAACCGCACTTTGCAATCTACGCATTTTGATACGCAAAATAAATGCATCCGTTACCCCATCTGTGAAAGAAGATCAGAATAATGCTAAGCAGTCGAGATGTTGTTTTCCAAAGGACTGGGTTTTAATTACAGTATTTTACGTTTTTACGTCATTATAGATGTGAAAGTGTCATCTTTGTGTCTATATTATTGGCAATAATGTGTCGGGTGAAACTCAGGATCATATTCAGAAAGTAAGAATGGTTAACATAGTCAAAAACTATTTATTTTCAAATACAGCTATGATCATTAGCAGCCATATCGTTTGTATGGTTTTTCTTTTGTACATAAGATGTTTTCTAGACAAAAAAGGTTGTAAGAAAAGTATGAATAGAACAAAGTACGACTCTATCTACAGATCTGACATTGACAGATTTGTCAAAGTTGTATGTGACTTGCCGATATGACGTATTTTGGATGTTACTATACAGGGTGACTTCGAAGTTGAGTCATTTATTTTAACAGTGAGTAGATCTGATCAAAAGAAATGTTTTTTTCCTTTACCATTTTTCTGGTAAAATTAAAGTAACAAAGTTATAGCCCTTTGGAAGTTTGAGTACCGCCCTGTCTCAATAATAATATGTTCGTGTTGGCGACAACGGATATAATCCGCCTGACCGGTTCATCGCATCGGAAACAAAAAAGCGAAAGAATTTGAAACGTTTATCACGATGTTTTTCGTCAGTCGATAACGCGTTAGTGAATAGTAATGTTTGTTGCGTGGCTCAAACGAAATAAAAAATGGCACATATTTATGCGGATCGGTTTCCCAATCGAGTGCAACCAACCCCTCGTGCCTTTGTTAATGTAGTACAACGGGCTCGTGAATCAGGTGACTTAAAACAGAGGACTGCATGCCGGTGCTCCAAGACCTCACGATCAAATACAGGTCCGCACTGAAATACTTGTCGGGACGATACTTTATTAAACAAGGTAACATTTTTTTTTATTTATTTTTTTATTTTTACACACATATTTTGGTTTATCTTCCTTCTACAATCATTATCTGAAAATTAATGATTCAACTTCAAAGTCACCCTGTATAACCGGCTATTATTTGCTGTCATGCTTAAAACAATAAAACATTGTGAAAACTATTGTAAGCAGCTATCTATTCACCGTAATTGTCCAAAGAAAAAAAAATGGTTGATCTTGATGTGTGAACAGTGACCGTACATTTCCAGCTTAGTAGGCGCGTGACATTCCCACATCAACATCAAGCATTGCCATGACCAGTGGTCAGAATTCAGAATAGTCACGCCCCTCTGTCACATATTACAGTAATGAACGGTGCGGCGTTGCCATTATTCTGCTGTCAGCTATTTACTCGTACGGGCAAGGATATCTAAACGGGTTGCTCCTTCTACTATCATTGGCTTTGCATCTCCTATCGCCAACTGTTAATAGTAACTTAGGTATCAACAATCTTGTGCTCTCTTTGGCTCTGCATCCCCTAAGACTTCATTATTACCAAGTGCAAACAGTAGCTTAGGTATTAACAACGCCAAAGTCACGTGTTACCGGTTCGTTTAGGTGCTTGATTTACGTTTTGTTGGATAATGTTTTAGAAATAATTTTTAATGATGTTTTCAATCATAATTTATGAAAGTGTTGAGTAAATGTTTTCGTATTACTTCCCACACAACAGGCGAGATGGTAAAATGTAAAAAAGATCGTATTTTTTGTGGTGCTATACGAAAAATCATGTCACATGTTTAAAGTACCGTTCCCATTTTCATGAAATTACCACAGATGGTTACTACTATACCAGCGACGAAAAAGCTTAATATTTTTTTGAAATTCGTTCAATGCCGGCGGAGCTAAGTGCAAAAAACTAAATAAAAATGGTTCAATGTTTGGAATTTTTTTTAGGGGTTGAATCTTGGTGGTTGGGGGTTATAAGGGGTAATGACTTGTAAATGTAACGTCTTTAGTATAACTATTAGACAAATACGTTATCATTTAGAAGTTTCTTTGAAATCAGTGAGAGACCTCCCATTATTAAGAGCCTGCTGATATCAGAAATATTATGCACCTGCGAATCCTTTTCCTAAGTGAACCCTTTTCTTTGGAACCTAGAGTCAATCCACTTGACGCCCTTTTTAAAAAATCCTTACCGTATTTGGGCATCTTTCCAGATTTCTTGTAAAATATTTGAACGTGGCAACTTCGCAAGGCGGATCGCCGTATCCATCGGGTGTGCGTAGGAGGAGGAGCGCTTAATTAGTTGATTTAATAAGGGGCGCTAGGAGGTCACGTGATGTCGTCGCCGTCGACCACCGTCCGTCTGTCGGTCAGGCACTTCCCGCAGATTATCGTAAACTTAATTTACGACATGCCCTTCTTACTGGTCTGGTAGTGTTTCGTTTCCACTCCCCGCCAGCTCGATGCTCAACGATCAGTTATATCCATTTAGAAAATGGGAGTTCGCGCTCCGTTTTTACGACTAGGATACGATGCACACTTTGTCGTTAACCCAGATAATGTATATTCCATTCTCTGTACAAATAATATCTATCCGAGGTTATTTAAAAATAATGTTCAGTAACGATTGTAACTACAGGTTACGAAATTGGGAATTTTACATGCAGAAACAAAATTTAAAGACATACATATCGACATCGGTCGTCGACGTTAAAATTGTAATCGTATCTCACAGGAAATAGTGAGTTTTCAAAAAAATAAACTATAAATTATTTTTTTAATTTTAAAGATATATAGAAAGTCGCGGTATTACATAAGAAGGCCATTTAGGTCAGTTTAAATTGTTCTTTATTGAAAATTAGGGATGCTTTTTAAGCACATTCCAGAAATTGTTTTTTCGTTCCGGATAATTCTTTTTAGATTGTAAGCAAGTACAGCTACCCCATGCTACCCCCAACCCCCAATCTGACAGTACCAGTCATCGCTTAGGTGAAAAAATACCTTTTATGATTATTTCGAAAACTATAAGATCTACTTCAAAGTATGTTTATTTAAAAATATACAGAATATCTCGCAGAATACAAATATCGAATAAAATCCCATAAGAAAAACAAAAGTTGCTATCAGTTTCTGAAAAACTGTAGAATCGGCAACGTCGCGGATATCATCAACGGATCCGCCGTGGTTTCGAACCTAAACCTACCAATTTTTAAAAAATTAGAATCTGTAGTTGAGTCATTAATTTTCAGATAATGATTGCAGAAGGAAGATAAACCAAAATATGTGTGTAAAAATAAAAAAAAAATTAAAAAAAATGCTACCTTTTTTATAAAATATGCTCCCGACAAGTATTTCAGTGCGGACCTGTATTTGATGGTGCGGTCTTGGAGCACCGGCATGCCCTCCCCTGTGAGGTCTCAAGTCACCTGATTCACGAGCCCTTTGTACTACATTCAGCATTTTCGTAAAAATGTGCCATTTTTTATTTCGTTTGAGCCACGCAACAAACACCACTATTCACTCACGCGTTACCGACTGACACTGACTGTATACGACTGAATGAAATAATTGTAAAAACATCGTTCCAAATTCTTTCGCTTTTTTGTTTCCGATGCGATGAACCGATAAGGCGGATTATATCCGTTGTTGCCAAACACGAGCGCATAATATTATTATTGAGACAGGGCGGTATTCAAACTTCTAAAGGGCTATAACTTTGTTAATTTAATTTTACCAGAAAAATGTTAAAGGAAAAAAACATTACTTTTGATCAGATCTACTCACTGTTAAAATAAATGACTCAACTTCGAAGTCACCCTGTATATAATAAAGTCGATTATTCAAGAAAAACGGTAATTGCAATTCTAATTATGCCATCTTGCAAAGGGGAAAAATGACAGTGCTTATATGTTATATAATGTAATTAAGTTTAAAAATCCCATCTCAAATGGAGTCAGGAAAAATAAGGCCGACTTTGGGAAGTCTAGAATTTATTTTACTGAAGACATGTTTTTTCCAAAAAAGCTCGTTCAAGTTTGACCCACCTA